CAAAAGTTTTCCATTTAATGTGTCATCTTTCTGAGTGGGATTTTTTTAGGTGTCTCCCAGCTTAAAATCATTAGGCCTAGGCCCAGGGCAGGGAAAGCATCATCTGGACTCTGTTATGCATGTCCTGTTCATTCAGTTTAGCAGATATTTATGAAGTATTGAGCACTGAGCTCCATACCAGGGATACAAGCCCCAAAACAGCCTCTTTCCTCAAGGATCTTATATCCCATTGGGTGAGAAAGAAGTAAAGATGAGGTAATTTGAGAAGAAAGAGAGTATAACAACTGGGACCTCTCTCCCTCTCTCTGTCTTGCCCCCACCCCACTCCAGTTTCTCCTTATGTTCCTTCATATTTCCATTGCACATACATATTGATAAATTTCACTTTAAAAGACCTCTCTATAGAAAAATTGAAGCCTATAAACCTAATGAAATAAGGTAGAGGAGGAAATGGGGCAGGCAATTATTTTCATCACAAAAAGATTCATTGTTCCACAAGAAGGATTGAGGATATAGGGTTGTTTTAATATGTGAACAGCCCTAGTGTGCTAACTTAATTGTTGAACCAGAACCTAGATTTACTTGAGACTTTGCCTGAGTGCTTGTTTATGGTGCCAGGTGCGATACATCTGTACATGTTATAAGCCTATTAACTTGGTTTCCAAAGTTAGCTTAAATAGGCAGTAATTTTGCCTGTGCCTATATCCCACTGCGAGTTAACTGGTTGGGAGAATTTTCCTGATGTTTCTGAGGTGGCGTTTTTTCATGTGGAGGCATTGCCCTTTTTCTTAATTTCTCTGGGCCTCACTTTCCTCGTCTATAAAATGGGGATCATTATTATTCCTGTTAAAACCAACCAGATCAATTTATATTGATAGCCATAACAACAACAACTTAGTATTTCTGATTTTGTGGCATGTGTACTTCTCATGGCTCTTCTTTCACTTCCCACTAGATGATCCTAACAACCTTATGAAAGGATATCATCCTCTTCTTGCTGGTAAGGAAACCGAAGTTCAGGGTGATTAAGCAAGTCATCCAGTGTCACAGAGAGCCCTCACAGCTCACATTGGCAGAATAGAATTGTAAGGTTTTCAAAACTGCTCTCCCCTCAACTACTATGTATTTATCTTCTGCCTTCTTTTATAACTGAGTCTCAGAGAAGTTAAGCATCTTATTGAATGTCATACAGCTAACTGTAAAGTGTCAGAACTAAGATTCAAACCCAGTCTCTGCTGACCACAAGTCCATCTTCCTTCCCACCATATTCCATTTTCTCTGACCAGAACCCAGCACTAGAACCCAGGTCGCTTCCATCATTACCCTACCTACTAGCTGGTCAACAGATACACGTGCTCCTCTAGGTTGGCCATTGATTATGGACAACTAAATAGACCTTACTCTGAAATTGCCCAGTTGGAGTGAGGCAGAGCAGCCATGAATTAAGGCTAGGGAAGTTTAACAATATTTGATACACTTGCCTCAGGCTGAAATGGGAGGCTGCTCCTCCCAGTCTCTCTGCTGTCCAGATCTTGTGCCCCTTGTCCTAGCCATAGACCTCGAGGGCTAAGGAAGCAACCCCAGCTGAAAACCCTTTCCTTCTTTTAAGTTCTGGCACTAACTCAGTCCAGGGAAGCCTCCTGAGCTAGACTTCCTCAGTTCCTGTTTCACCAGGGAAATGTCAAATACCTTATAGCTTTCATTGGCTGTAGTATTCATTGCCCCTGGGTCCAACTTTGAAGGTGAAGTTTAATTGTCTTTAGCTGTTGTTTCCAAGACAAAAGTATGAATTTCCTAACTTTCCCATCTTGGGAAAGATAAAGAAGGGAAAGCTGAGGTTAGTAGTTTGCAGCCTGAGCCCTAGGGAGAGGGAATTCTATGTGTAATTTACTGTTGTTGTCTAGTCCCTTTCATATTTGGTGACAGTGTTGGCAGTACTAAGCAGGCTGAGGCCCTGGCTTTATGAAATCAGCAGCTGCAGTGGTGACATAAAGCATGAGCACATGCAAGTGACAGACTTGAAGAATGGCACCCATGAATTTCTCTGCTTAGTAAATTTCCTCTCTGTGGTATTGGTGAAATGAATAGGACTTTCTCTGTGAGATTTGGTAAACTTTTTCCCATATAGCTCATCTCATAATTTTGTCAGAACTTAAAATACACACACACACACACACACACACACAGAGCAAATAGTTGTCAGTTTTCCTTTTCATATGCCAATAACATTATTTCAGAATAGGTTGTGTGGCACCTGAAGTACACCTGTCAATATGAATTAAAAAAAAGTTTATGCTTAAGATTCATGTTGTTCAACCACTTGCAGGGCCTATAGTACAACTCTGTAAAGATAGGAATTTACAGCAAATTGGGTCAGGGTAGGCTGAATCCCATAAGGCTAGAGAAAATAGATGTGATTGCAAGCTAAGAGATACCTTGTTAGTATTCAACAGAAGCTTCTGTAAAGGATAGAGAATCCTTCATCTATGGTGACTTAAGATAGACCTTTATGGAGACAGAAGGATTGACCAGATACATTTATTTCAAATCCTGTATTTCTGCTGTTCTAAAGAAGATTGAGTTTCTAAATGGACATTGTATACTGTGAGGCATTTTGAAAATTCTGTTAACAGTCTTTTTTGCATTCTGTTGAAAGTAATCACAAACATGGAGAGGGACAGAGGGAATAAACATGTATTAACTGCCTACCGTGTGCTAGGCACTATGCTAAGTGTTTAACAAATATTATCTTGTTTCATTTGAGGGCCTAGGCCTTAGAAATAAGGAGAATATGATGTTGGTTAGGCTGGAGAAGTTTTGCTGAAACCCATGTTTCCTAATGATGACAATGTGGCCAGTGAGGAGTTTGTTTTACATAATGTAGTATCCCTTCTGTTTATAAAAGTGTACATCAAATTAAAATCATGAGAGGCCCTTCACTTTGTATCATTTCCTTCAGCATTGTAGGAACCACATACGTACATGTACAAAGGTCATTCTGATCTAGTCACTGAGTGCAGCCTTTTGACTGAGTCCAAGTTTTACGGAACAAATCCTTTCATTAAGGGGATTTGTTCTGTAAAGTTTGGATTCAAAGGGCTGCACTTGAGGACCTAGTGGGCCACACGTGGCCTCGAGGCCACAGGTTTCCCACCCCTGGACTAGATCATAGAAAGTGTAGGGGCGGGAAGGATCCCTGCTCTCAGCATCCCAGGACCTCCAGTCCAGAATTCTCAAACTCATTTTCTATCCTGCCATCAAGCAATAGAGGAGGATCCTGGAGGATGGGTATGCTATATGCTTGGAAGATCAAGTTTGGGGTCCAGGTTTTGTCCCTCAGATCTGCTTCTTTCTTCTTTTAGTGTACAGTCACAAAGTCAACACAAACACACACTAGAAAAAGGGAAGAAAAATCTACTTTCCCTAGAGACATTGAACAAATTTGGGAAATTGAAGTATCTGTTTACAGCTTAAAACATGTCAGCATTGATCTAGATTCCACTACTTAGATTAATTTCTAGTTCAGTCCTTATCTAATCACCAGCGAGCATAGAGCTGTGGAAGGAGTACTAGATTTGGAATTAAATGGATCTGGGTTCAAATTCTGACTCTTATCACTACCATCATGGCCATGAGGAAGTCACCTTTCTGGGCTTCAGTTCTTTATCTGTTAAATAAAGGGTTTGGACTGGGACTGAGGAATCTTAGTATAGCTAGAAGTAACCTTAGAGGCCATCCAACCTAATCCCCTTCATTTTGTACAGTAGAGGAGGAAGATGATTTGCCTACAAGTATACAGGTAACAAGTGACAGAGGCAAGATGAGGAAAAAGGTCCTATTACTCCAGATCCAGTGGTCCTTCCTCTCTGCCATGCTGCCTTTCATCTTGGAGGAACCTTCTAAATCTAAATGTTCTGATCTTTATGATCTTAAACTACACCTAAGCATTATACATAGTTGTCCTAAGAGGTCAGGGCCCCCACTGTACTACCTAGTCAACCCACATCTGTAGTATTACACTAATTTCTGACTATTATATTTTGAAACAGACTTTGGCAAATTCAAAATAAAGAATTAATTTCTAAGAATTAGACTTGTCTAATACTGGAATGGGCTGCCTCATGAGGTCTGAGATTGAGAGCTGAAAGAAACATTCCAGATCATCTAACCCAACTTCCAGATTTTATAGATGACAAAACTAAGAATAAATTCCCCCACTAATTCTGTCACTAGGTGGAGAAGTTAGTTAGATGACTGTTTGAGGGTCACGTTGTAAAAGGGGATTTGTTTTTCAGCTATGGGTTGGACCAGATAACCTCTGGGGTCCTTTCCAATTCTCTGAGCTGCTAAGGAAATCCACAATGTCATATGAAGAAACCAGCAGGCTATATGCAGCCTTGGAAGATCAGTGGAAATCTTTTAGCGGGGGAAAAAAAAGGAGGTTTGTGAAGACTGCAGTTAGAATTGTGTTTACAAATAGCCTTAAAAGTAAGGAAGTAAAATTGACTAGCTCACCCAAGTTTTTCTAGAGATCTCTGCCTGCTCTGAGGAGGTCACAGTCCGTACTGTGAATGAAATCAGCACTCCATTCTCCTTGGCCAGATTACTTGGGTTACTTGGACTGGGCAAGTCGCTCTTTGCAAAGTGTTTCTCTGGGAAAGGAAATTACCTTCTCAATATTTGTAGCCTCAGGCAGAATGTGTCCAATTCAGCCTTTTCAAATAAACGTTTTCTAAGCTTTCAGACGTATCATATCATCCTAAGTAAATCCAATTAAGGACCCTTGCAGAACTGCCATCAAAATCGAGAACAGTATTTTGGGGAAATGAACAAATGTCCTGGGAGATGTAGGGAAGGGGTATATTTCTACATTGGGGTTACATAAATATGATTATTCCTAACTTTTCCAGTACTGGGTTTAACTTGTTACATGCAATAAGATATGATTAGTAGAATCAACTCACCAAATGATTTATTTGATTTCTTTTTCTATTTTTTAGGAAAAACTTTGTCTACCACATCACATCCTTGAGGAAAAAGGCCTGGTCAAAGTGAGCATTACAGTTCAAGCATTATTAGATGTCACTGTAACAAAGGCTTTGTTCACATGAAACCACCTTCTCTTCTTTAAATCAACCCAACTTCACCAGAGGGCAAGAACTCTGCTCCTGAATTCAGTTACTCCCTTCCCACAGCACTACTCCAAATTCCCAATCCAGAAGCGCATTGAAAGTACTTCCACTGGGAGAGAGAAATTCTTTTCACATCTGAAATCCAGCCTAGAGACTTGAAGTGATGCGGCCAAGAACTAGCAACCATTAAGAAATGAGCACTTCCAATCAATGGAGCTTTCTTCTGCCTTCCATATTCGCCTGCTGCCTTTACCAAAGCACCGAGGACAGCTGTTTTTGCAGCCAAATGCATTCATTTTATTCGTACCAAACTCATACGTTTTGGGGGAGGGAGTTAGGGTTTTCACCATCAGATTTTTTCAGGATGTTGCTTCAGACCCATTGCCTTTTAAAAACTATTTAGAACATACAAAATATTTATATAAATATTATTTATTAGTAAGTTGTTATTCATCCTTTGGATGCAAAATGTAAATTAGGAAACTGTATTTTATTACTGCTTTTTTGTGGTTAAACACTTTATTTTAATATTATAAATATTTAGTTATTTTCTATCCTATTTGGTGTGCAGTAGCTGTAGACTTTAGTAATCATGTTTTCTAGTGTATATGATTTATTAAGAATTCCACAAAAATAGGTGCTTCAATGACAGCTGTTTTCTTGGGGAGGCATTGTTCATATTTTGGTTTCTGGAACATCAGCCTAATTTCTATCTCTGCATTCCATTCAATTTCTTACATTCCAGCAATCCTGTTGTCCCCCACGCTAATGAATTGACTTAAATCAGGAGAGCACCCACAATTTATTTGTAAATAGCTGTGATGATAAAAAGGAAAGATTAAACTTGAAGACAAAATGTGAACAACTATTTTTTTTGGATTGATACTTATTTTTACTATGCACAAGACATTAAACTTTTAACACAACGAATAGGAGTTAGCATCATGAATCTTGAAATATAGTTTTGCACTGTAACCTGGGTAACTTAAAAGAGTTCAGCACTAGAGGCAGATACTGAGAAAACAGCACAAGAAAGTGAAGATAAAAAGTTTACTCTTTAACCAAAAAGGTCTTTAGTGGGCCCGGCATAAAGGGAAAAGTATTGACTAAGTTGTCAAAGTTCATTTAAGGTCCATTGCACCTGGATTCAGTGGAGTGATACTTTTTTACAACTGCCATTTTTTTTAAAGGGAAAAGTTTCTGAGATGTAGAAAGTTTATTTTATTCTATTTTAGTGGGTGGGCTGGGGTGGGGGTGGGGGAGGATGGGAATTTTTAGGGTTTCAAGGCAATTCTTTAAAGAGTGCAAGATTTCTTTTCTTTGTCCTGAAACCCCAGAAATGAATCTCAAGTCCTCAGGCCAGCCACGTGAAGATGCTGCATGTTGTCTAAAGGACGTCTGGTAGAGATAGCAGAGCAGGAAAGCTTAGGATCATAGAATCATAGGAGAAGAACTGGAAGGGACCTCACAAGGGCTTCAGTCCAACCCCTTCATTTTATAGATGAGGAAGACCCAGGGAGCTAAGCAAGTGTAGGTTTATGAAGCAGCAGGGTGAAGGAGAGAATATAGAGAGCACTAGAAAAGAACCAGCCAGGAAAATACAGAGACAAAGATAGTGGTTTGAAAGACTCAGCTATGTTTAAATCACAAAACCTATTTTAGGCAGTTTATGCGTGTTCACTCTGATGCTGCATTTACAGAGACCAATATTCCAATATTCTTTCAAAGTCTTGAATATATGTGAATGAATGCCAACCACATTTCCCAAACGGCAGAGGGCAATTGTCATCATCACATTCATCAGCGGGCAGCGCAGCACCTGGTGAGGAAGCTAATGGGGAACCCAGCGGCGATTGACTGGGAGTACAGCGTGCATTAAACGTTCACTAACTTTAACCAAAGCAGAAGCTTGTGTTCTAAGGAAGAGGCATTTGCTGAAGAGTAATTTGGATTGGCGGCGAGCATATTGTTTCCTATATGATATACTGTGCACTTTAACGCTAAATTAAAAATGTATTTTAATATTTCCCAGGGCTGCACAAATACCTGTTGTGTCAAACAGCACAAATGGTAGAAAGAAGAGAGATTTTGAACAGAGTATATACAATTTAAAAAACATTCAAAGATTGATTATATGAATAGGAATATTGATTGCTGCATCTCGAGGGGCAAGAATGCAGGGTCCTGAAGTATTTTTTTACATGTATATATGGCAACATGAAGCTTTGTAATCATTGTTTTGAGAGATTTTGTTTTTTTCAAAATTAAAATATTTCTTTTGATATTGATTTTCAGTATTTCCTTGAAGTTGGTTATATGATACCAGTGGCTCTCACGTGTTTTGTCATATGCCCTTTTTTTTTAAAGTGCAGTCCTTGTCTGGCTAAGGTGTCTTCGAGAACATTTGCATATTCTACATGCAATAAAATGTGCATGGCTAACTGACAGCACCATGAAAATAATATATAGAATGCAAATAGTATTATCATTTAATAGTCATTTGTACAAGTCATCTTGTTTATTACTCACAATCTGATAAAAAAAATCACAACATAAAAGTAGAACAGGATCTTAGGGATGACTTATTTTAACCCTCTATTGTATAGGACTCTAAGGGCTGTAGAAGTGAAATGATTTAGCTAAGGTCACTTTGGAAGTTAGTGGCAAGAGGACTGAGTCTTGAGTGACAAGATCTAGGTTCAGATCCCCACTCTGATGCTTGCTACCTATGTGACCTTGGCCAAGTCACTTAACTTCTGTAGGCCTTAGTTTCTTTATCTGTAAAATGGGAAGTTGACTACATGGGCTCAGGTCTTTTCCAGCTTTACACTATAATACTATGACTAGAACCCAGGTCTCATGCCCAAGGGAAGCGACGGAGTATAAATACAAATGCCTAGGGCCAATTAAAAAACAAAACAAAACATGACTAGATTTAATCTGAGTCTGGACTAGGAAAGGCATAGGAGGCAGGAGATGTTTCTGCATTAGGATGACACAAATTGTTTCAAGAAAAATAAACTGAAAGTACATTGTGTATAGTTTTTTAAAGAGATAATATATGAGTTGGTAAGGGAAGAAGAATTTAATGGTTAAAACCTTGAATATTGATTAAATACCTATAAAATGGAAAAGAACAACTTGCTATATAAAAGAAATGCAGATGTCTTTATACAACGAGTTAAAGTGGGGAGTGTAAGTAAAATTTATTGCACATTAGTAGAATCCAGAAAGCAGAAATAGCATTCAATTTTGGATAAGGTAATAGTAAAAATAGATAACATCCAGGGAGAGAAAAGAGGCAATTATGTTATACTTAAAGGCACCGTAGATAGTGAAACAAGGTCTATATTAAATACATATGCATTGAATAGCATAGTACCTAAGTACTAAAGGAAAAGCTAACTAAATTGTCAACAAAAAAGTACCCACATAATGAGATAATAATTGCAGATAACTCCAATATCCCACTTTCAGACATACAGAAAATCTGCATTATTAAGAGCCAATTATGGATTAGAAGAGAATGTTGGGAAAACAATGTTGGAACTCTGGAAATTATTGAATAGGAATCAAAGTGTTGTTTGGCTCATACAAAACAACTGAGGACATTGTAGGACCTAAAAACCTCAATACAGAAAGGTTAAAATATTAAACATTTTAAAACATAATAAGGATAATAATAATGCAGACCTAAATGAAGAATAAAAAATATCTTAAATGAGTGGGTCAAAATATAAATAATGGAAATGAGTAATTATATTAAAAAAAATGAACCAACACATTAAAATATTTGGAATATATCTAAATTAGCCCTTTGGTTTTGTGTGTGTGTGTGTGTTATACATACATACATACATATATACACACATGTATATAAACATTTAGATCAATGAAAGTGTTAATAAATTGGACATACAGTTTTTTAAAATCCCAAATAGTTACAAAATCCCAATAGTTAATAATCTCCAAACTACCATAAAGTAGAAATTTTGAAAATCAAATTAAGAGACAAATGAAACACAAAGCCTGTTAAATTAACAACAGTGATTTTAAAAAAAAAAGACCAACAAAGACAATAAGCTAAACCAATCTGATCTCATTTTTAAAAAGCCTAAACTCAAAATTACCAAAATCAGAGATGAGATGGGTGAATTCATGACAAAGCAAAGGATGTAAAGAAAATTATCAAATGGTATACTTTGTTAGTCTGGTTCTGGATCTGAAGGAACAAAAATGGTCCTAGATGCTTTAGAGGATTTAATGATTGAGCACCAATCACCAATTAAACTGACAAAAAAGGTTACAAGAAGTATATTTTTATCTCACGATTATCTTTGGGTTCCTATCTTGGTTATATACATAACTGCAACTCAGGCAATCATCATCCAGGCTAATTGATAAATAAAAGACCAATTTGCAGTGATGTTAGGGATTGTTTGAGCTGCACATAATCTCACGCCCTCAGAGATCATCTAGTTAATTCATGCCTGAGGAAGAATCCCTTCTATTAACATCTTAGTCAAATGGTTATCCATTTCTTCGTTTGAGGACCCCCGGACAGAGGACAGAGAGAAAGAGAGAGAGAGAGAGAGAGAGAGAGAGAGAGAGAGAGAGAGAGAGAGAGAGAGAGAGAGAGAGAGAAGGCAAGCAATTTCATATAGGTCATACATGTTCAGTCATGCAAAACATACTTCCATGTTAGTCATATTGTGAAAGAAAATAGACACATAAAAATGAAAAAAAAGTGTTTTGATCTGTATTCAGACTCCATCAGTTCTTTCTCTGGAGATGAATTTTTCATCATGAGTCCTTTGGAATTGTCTTGGATCATTGTATTACTGAGAATAGCTAAGTCGTTCACAGTTGATCATCATACAATATTGCTATTACTGTGTACTATGTTTTCCTGGTTCTACTCACTTCACTTTGTATCAGTTCGTGTAAGCCTTCTCAGGTTTTTCTGAGATTCACCTGCTCATCATTTCTTATAGCACAATAGTATTCCATTACAATCATATGCCACAACTTGTTCAGTTGTTCCCCAATTGATGGGCATCCCCTCAATTTCCAATTCTTTGCCAGCACAAAAAGAGTTGCAATAAATATTTTTGTACATACATGTCCTTTTCCTTGTTGTTGTTTTTTTAAAATCTCTTTGGGGTACAGACCTGGCAGTGGTGAGAGTTCTAATTTTTTTATATCAATCTCAATTTGCCTTTCTGCAAATTTGACCCGTTTCTCCTAGTTCTCTGGGTCCAAGCAGAACAAGTCTAATCCTCTTCCACATGACAACTCCTTTGGACTTTGTACTGAAAGACTACTATCAATCCTCCAATGTTTTCTCCATACTTAACATGCCCAGTTCCTTAAATCCTAATGTAGCATGAACACCAGGCCCTTCACCATCCTAGTTGCCCTCTCCTGGAAACTCCCCAGTTTATTAATCCTCTTTTTAAAATATTTTACTGAGAAATGAGTGTCATAATCTTGATGTAATAGGCAGGCAAAACAAGCTAGATCCTTTCACAAATATGCCAATCAAAGGTAAGTAGACCTAGGTAACTTTGAATATGTCAGTTATGAATAGATCAGATGAGCATAAAAACAAGGATTAATAGAACTACTTTGGTATCAGCAGCTTATCTCACAGACCCTGAGAGTTGGAAAAGACATCATTGGTCATCTGGTCCAACTTATACTTCCCCTCTGCAAAATAACTAATAAAGGGTTATACTGAAACAGACCTCCTGCTTCCTAGTATAAAACCTGTTGAACTACATGTATGGAATGGGGCATACATGTTCTGACATGACAAGTCAAAACATTATTAGCTTTTCTGCTTTTGGAAGAAATAAGGGAAGTTTGGGGAAAAGGTGAATGTGAGGGTTAAGATAATGAGTTCTATTGAGTTTGAGATACTTAC